TTAACATCTCAATAGATAATAGTAAAAGCAGTGAGTAAAACTCAATCTCCACTTACCATAAAAACACTCAACAAAGTGGTTATGGAGGGAACATACCTCATCATAACAAAGGTCATATCTGACAAGCTCACAGTGAACATGATGCTCAATGGTGAAAACCTAAAAGCTTTTCCTCTAAGTCCAGGAATAAAATAAGGACACCCACTCTCACCACTTTTCTTCAACATTGTATTGGAAATCCTAGCCAGAGAAATTAGAAGAAGGAAAAGGCAACCAAATTAGGAAAGGAAAAAGTAAAACTGTCACTATTTGTGTATGACATGATATTATAAACCCTAAAGACTCCCTCAAACAACTGTTAGAACTAATAAATTTAGTAAAATTGCAGGATACAAAATCAATGTACAAAAAATCGATTGCATTTCTATACACAAACTATCAGAAAGAGATTAAGAACACAATCCCATTTACAACTGCATAAAAGACAATAAAATATCTAGGGCTAGATTTAACCAAGGAGGTGAAAGTCTTCTACAGTGAAAACTATAGGACACTTATGAAAGGAATTGAAGAAGACACAAATAAATGGAAAGATATTCAATGCTCATGAGTTGAAAGAATTAATATTAAATTGTACATACTACCCAAAGCAATCTACAGATTCAGTGCAATCCCTAATAAAATTCCAATGGCATTTTTCATAGAATAAGTAATCCCAAATTTTATATGGAATCACAAAAAACCTTAAATATCCAAAGCAATATGGAGAAAGAAGAACAAAGCTGGAAGCATCTCACTTTCTGATTTCAAACGGTGTTATAAAGCTATAACAATCAAAACAGTATGGCACTGGCGTAAACAGACACATAAGCCAATAGAACGGAATAGAGTCCAGAAATAAACACACACATTTATGGTGAATTAATTTATAACAAAGGAGGGGCACCTGGGTGGCTCAGTCAGTTAAGTGTCTGACTTCGGCTCAGGCCATGATCTCACAGTTTGTGGGTTCAAGCCTCGCATCAAGCTCTGTGCTGACAGCTAAGAGGCCTGCTTCGGATTCTGTGTCTCCCTCTCTCTCTGCCCCTCCCCCATTCACACTCTGTCTCTCAAAAATAAATAAACATTAAAAAAGTAATAATTATAACAAAGGAGCCAAGAATATATAATGGGGAAAGGACAGTCTTTTCAATAGTTGGTGTTGGGAAAACTGGACCACTATCCTACATGTACACAAAAATAAACTCAAAATAGATTAAGGCCTGAAACCATAAAACTACAAAAAGAAAACATAGGCAGTAAACTCCTTGACATCAGTCTTGGTGATGATTTTTTGATCTAACTCCGAAAGCAAAGGCAACAAAGCAAAAATAAAAAGGTGGGGCTACAGCAAACTAAAAAGTTTATGCACAGCAAAGGAAATCAAGAAAATGAAAAAGCAACCTACTGAATGGGAGAGATTATTTGCAAATCATATATCTGATAAGGTTAAGTATCCAAAATATATAAAGAACTCATTAAACTGAACAGCAAATAAATCTAGCAATTGAATTAAAAAATGGCCAGAAGATCTGCATAGGTATTGTCCAAAGAAGACATCTAGATGGCCAACAAGTACATGAAACAATGCTCAAATCCCTAATTATCAGGAAAATGCACATCACAAGCACAGTGAGATGTTACCTCACCCCTTAGATTGACTATTGTCAAAAAGACAAGAGATAACAAGTGTTGGCAAGGATGTGGAGAAAAGAAGAGGGTTCTTTTGCACTGTTGGTAAGAATGTAAACTGGTACTGCCACTATGCAAAACAGTGTTGAGTTTCCTCAAAAAATTAAAAGTAGAACTACCATACAATTCAGCAATTCCATTTCTGGGTATTTGTCCAAAGAAAATGAAAACACTAATTTTTTTTTTCAACGTTTATTTATTTATTTTTGGGACAGAGAGAGACAGAGCATGAACGGGGGAGGGGCAGAGAGAGAGGGAGACACAGAATCGGAAACAGGCTCCAGGCTCTGAGCCATCAGCCCAGAGCCTGACGCGGGGCTCGAACTCACGGACCGCGAGATCGTGACCTGGCTGAAGTCGGCCGCTTAACTGACTGCGCCACCCAGGCGCCCCTGAAAACACTAATTTTAAAAGCTATATGTATTCCTATATTTATTGCAGCATTATTTACAATAGTCAACATATAAAAACAACCTAAATATATATATCAGCCATAAAAAAAGAATGAGCTCTTGCCATTTGCAATAATGCGTGTGGACGTTGAGAGCATTAGGCTAAGTGAAATAAGTCGGACAAATACTGAATGATCTCACTATATGTGAAATCTAAAAATAAAGATGGGTGAAGGGCGTCAAAGGTACAAACATCCTATAAAAGATGATGATGATGATGATGATGATAATGATGATGATGATGGTATATTAAGTTTAAGTGAGGTTTTTTCCAGGAATTCAAGGTTGGTTAAATATTCAAAAATCATATAACCATATTAACAAACTATTAATGATGAAAAATAGGCCGGCAAATGGTAACCTTTCTACTCAAATCAGCTGACCCAAGTAGTCACGGCACAGCTGGACAATGACATATGTCTAAGATGATGGCCTATCTCTACGAAATATATGCGGTGGTGAGACAGGTGATATGTACTTGTTATAATCAGATGTGAAGAGAAGAGCTGGAAGACTACACTAAACTGAAAAAGAAAAGGTTCTTTCTCTCGCCAACTGCCCAGTCAGATAAACCCCCTCAGAGGGGCGCAGAAAGGGAAGTGTTGCTCCAGTGCCAGTTTCAGCCACATATAGAAGCATCAGTGGTAGAGAATAAATACTCTCTCACAGTACTCATAGGATTGTGATTTTTAATATATACATTTTAAACTATTGGCCTCTGCAGTAAGATATGAAAAGGGGGAGGGAGGATAGAAATATGTAGACCTGTATTATATATTTAGAAAAATCTAGAAGTAATAAACATTAAAATAAATAAAAGGTTAGGTGCAGCAGTAATTCTACATTAAAACAATTCCTAAAACCATAAAATGTGTTTTTAAATCACCTTAAAGGCTCATCAAAAGAACACCAAAATAATAAATGCTTCAGAATAAATTGAAAGATTTGTGTTAACATAAAAAAAAATTCGGGAAATAAAAATTCTTTTTTTTAAAAAAGTTAATTTATTTTGAGAGACAGGAAGAGAGAGAGCAAGATCAGGGGAGGGGCAGAAAGAGAGGGAGAAAGAGAGAACCCCAGGCATGTTCCATGCTGTCAGCACAGAGCCCCACGTTGGGCTTAATCTCACGAACTGTGAGATCATGACTTGAGCAGAAACCAAGTCAGGAGCTTAACCCACTGAGCCCCTCGGGTGCCCAGGAAATACAGATTCTTACACAAATGTCAAAGCAAACCATGTGCCTGGTTAGAAAAGTGATTATAAATCTATGGAGTTGTTTGGTTAACATTATTTGTTAAAAACATTGTAAAGTGTAAAGTTATTACCTTCATCCAGGCCCTGATCTCCCTGTAATCCACTCACCACACCACCAGAATGACCTTTTAAAACTGTAATTTAGAACATATCACTTGCTCACTTAAATTTTTCCAGTGGCTTCTCACTGTTCTGAGAATAAGATCCAAAGCCCTTACCACATTCTATTCAGTGCTGCACAACTTACTCCTTGGTTGCCTTCCTAGCTTCGTTGTGTCACCACTCTGCCTCGTTCAGAACACTTGAGATACACTGAGCACAAACCTGCTCTTAGAGCACACTAAGTTTTTGCCTTGAAGCCTCTGCCCTTTCTATTTCCTGTTCTTTTGGGGCTGAGGGGCCTTCTCTGATCATTCAGTCTAAATAGACCTTCACAGGAGTTTCTACCAAGTCATGGGATTTTATAGCAATTGCCACTATTTAAGTTAGCTTGTTTTCCTAAATACTTTTTTTTTATTATTTTTTATTTTTTATTATTTATTTATTTTAATGTTTATTTTTAAGACAGAGAGAGACAGAGCATGAATGGGGGATCAGAGGATCAGAGAGAGAGGGAGACACAGAATCCGAAGCAGCTCCAGGCTCTGAGCTGTCAGCACAGAGCCTGACGCGGGGCTCGAACTCACAGACCTTGAGATCTTGACCTGAGCTGAAGTCGGAAGCTCAACTGACTGAGCCACCCAGGCGCCCCTCCTAAATACTTCTTAGTTGTCGATCAGCCCTCCTCTCCACTAGCCGGATAACTCCATAAATGCAGATGCCTTGACTATGAATTAACACAAGCAGAACAATTAATTCCTAGCTATTTCAATAAGGCTCACCCCTGTAACTTCAGAGCCTCGGACATTTCTCTGGACCATATTAGGCACCAAATAAATATTTCTTTAAGGAGTGTTGAATGTCACAGAATGAATGTTGAAAAAGCATAGAATAACGTATGTACCAAATCAATACATTCTTTTCAACTTAAGATTTATGTAATGTTATGTTATGTAAATATGCAAATGACTTATGTAAATAATAGTATTAATTAGTCAAAGACGACTAAATAAAATTAAAATAATTAAAATTATAAGGAGACAATAAAGGATAATATTTTCATAACTTCGGGGTAGAAAACTTGAGTTTCCTTTACATGACTGTCTCCTAGCCACCCAGTTGTCCTCTCTGCAGCCTGTCTTCTTTCCAGGTCTTTGTATCTTCCATGGATATTTTAAATATATGTATGCAAATTTGTGTTCGTATGTGTTTGTGTTTATAGATAAATAGAGGGATGACAGCTAGCTAGCTAGATTCTTTTTTCTCTCTCCCTTTTACCAAATCGATAGCCAGGAGTGAATTAGTAAATGTACGATTTAACAACCTCTTAATCACGGAAGTCAGAATGGATTTCCAAAGTCTGTGTCAGCTTTGTCCCATTGGACTAGGGTTCTTAAATCTAAAATTTCATTTTACAATTTAAGAAATAATCTTTCTCTCTTCTTCTCCCCCCCTCTTTTCAGTATGCGCAAATTTTGAGAGAAAGACTGAGAGAATCATTTCATGATGTTCAGTATGTAGAGCCTCCATTTGATGATTCAATTGCTGATTTAGGTAAAGAATGGAAGAGTGCCCTGGCAAAATTAAAGTTTGCTAATTCATATAGAATGGAGCCATTGAAAAAATTCCAAGCTCATTCCGTGGAAACTAAAGTCCAGCAGATATTAAAGGTAGGTTGATGAGTACATATGATAGCAATATCTAAGCTTCGGAGGTTTGATAAACCGTGTTAAGCTTTATGACCGTATATTTACCCTCACTGACTTTTTGTAGCATTTATCTCTGAAAATATGAAAGTACTTTGTATTCATACTCAAGAATCTTCACATCGATGCTATGAGCTAGATTTAAAGGAAATATTCTTTTGTTATTTCATTCAACTCCTAATTATCCATAAATTATTTATCCCTTACATTCCACGTTTGCCCGTATTTGGAGGAATGAGTTAAATAAAACACACTGTGTATGTGTGGAAAGTTGGTTCCTGTGTACTAACACGTCTAAGGACAGGCAGCCGCCAATGATGCATAGGTTTTCTTCTTTAAACTTGCTGGAATCTAAAGTTCTTTTAAGACAGTTGTTTGAAACTCAGGCACTTGTTCCCAGACTAGTCCAAAATAGCTGCTTCAATGTAACGAACTGAATACTGTATTACTAACATGAAGACCAATGTTATTTATACTAGTATTGGTATCTGAAGGCTGCGTTGTTCAGATGAAGATAATTCATTCATCACTTTTCTTAACCTCCAGTTTACAAGGTACATTCCTTCAGTAACAACTGATGTGAGCTAGCTGTTGGGAAGAAAGCATCTAATTTATTTTGTATAAATATTTAGTACTCCTTTAATCATAGCAAAATTAATTCTTTAAGTGAAGTAACTTTTATTGGTACAGAAGAATATTTAGGAGGCCTACTCTAACCTCCCCCCACTACTATAGACAGGTACATTTCTAACCTAAACTAATAACTGTCGGATGATATTTGGCAATGATATTATGGCTCATGGCTTCGGGAAATAGAGAAATTCAACTCAATTTGATACATTAAAATAATTATTGATTACCTTCTTCTCCTATCTAATTAACAGCAAGCATTTGTGACATGAAAGTATACATTATCATGTGTCCCTTGCTTGGCCTTACTACATAGACTAAGTTCAGACTTACTGATTTCAAATTGTATGTACATAGGATAATTTGCAGAATTGCACTGAGCATGATGGGGCCTAAAACAGCTGATTGGATATGTAGGTGGATGACTAGGGGTCATAAAGAGGCCAGGGATTTTCCCTTGGGTTCATGGAAAATTCAACATAGTTCTACATGCAGAAATAATAGTGTTTCCTGATGGAGCTTGCAGGCATCTTCCTATAGCAAGCACTCATTACAGTCATTACTTGTTAAATAACAGCATCTGGGGAGGCGAAGCCTGAGGTCTGTTGGGCAGATTCAGAAGAGAGAATGGATGTTGCGAAGCGTTTGAAAGATGGAGCCACAGCCAAATGCCTAAGGGAAATGAATGCTTCTACACCCAGTTTTAGGTCCAGCAGCATTCTAGAAGGGACTCAAAACTCTTTGTTTTTACTTGCCTATACAATTAGCTGGTAGGAGTTCATCTGTTATGGCGGGACCCAGAACTGTGGTTAATTCATTGGTCTGAATCAGTCGGTCAAAGTCAGTCAAAGACGCCTGCAGTCTGCTCACTAGGTGGTCCAGTCTGCTTCCGGTTTGTAGGAACGCCTCGCGCTTCATGGCTCACGTCTGTCTCCCCAGCTGTGATTAATCCACAGCAGACATGGCCAGAAGCTTTCCATCTCCTCAGTGCTCGCCGGGAGCCCACAGAGAAGCCGTGGGGAAAGGGTTGGAGAGGTGGCTTCGATTCAGGAAGACTGCGAAGGACAGGGTCACAGAGAACAGGCCGTGGAGGATGGAGATCACAGGGTACAGGCTCTGGTCCAGGAAACCCAAGCCTTAGGAAAACTAAAGTCTGAATTTTCACAAACATGTAAATTATAGAAAGATTTCCTTTGTCTACCCTAAGAATTCCCAGAAGCATTCTTTTAAAATTCCCCTGTGTCTCCCTGCTGTCTGATGGGGTGATCCAGTGAAGGAAAACTTACAGCCCGAGGGTTGGTGATGGAGAGCAATTGAATGTAATTAAAAACCAAAATAAATTTTATTCAACATTGTTATTGAAATAAACTGGTAAGCACAACATTCATTTCATATCATTTGGTTAGGAATGCATGTATTTTTTTTAAGTTATATGTATTTTTTAGATACATGTTTTCTTGAATTTTTATGTAGAAGATATTTGGTTTGAAGATTAAAATATTTTTTCTATTTTTTTGAAGGAAAGTCTTAAAGATGTCAAATATGATGATAAAGTCTTCTCTCATTTGTCACTTGAATTAGCAGACCGCATATTGTCAGCAGTGAAAGAATTTGGGTACCACCGTTACAAGTTCATTATAAAAGTATTATTTATTCAAAAGACCGGTCAGGCAATAAACGTAAGTACTATAGTGATCCAGCATCTATCAGTTAGAGCTCTAAGGTCTTCTCAGTGGTGATGCGATAATTACCGTGATGCCTGTCTCCAAGGCACTTTAAGACCCCGAGGTGCCTCTCTAAGAAGGATAATTGTGTTAACTATGTCTTCCTTCACTGCATATTATTTGAAAAGTACTAACCCAGAAATGGCAATTTTCTACTGGTAATTTACAAAATTGTATGGCTATCCTGTTCCTTGATCATACCCAATTTGACCATTTAATGTCATTTGATAATTAGCCAGTAAGTTTATTTTGAGCACTAATGGGTGTGAGGTACTGAGAAAAAGACAGAGAATGAGACATGGTCCATGATTATGATTCTCAGGGAGTTTTCACTGCACTCAAGGAAAGAAAGCAATGCAGATGGGAGTTTAAGAAATGGAATAGTGTACGGGGCGCCTGGGGGGGCTCAGTCGTTTGAGCGTCCGACTTCGGCTCAGGTCATGATCTCTTGGTTCGTGGGTTCAAGCTCCAGGTCGGGCTCTGTGCCCACGGCTCGGAGCCCGGAGCCCGCTTTGGATTCTGTGTCTCCTTCTCTCTCTGCCCCTCCCCCACTTGTGCTCTGTCTCTCTCTGTCTCTCAAAAATAAATAAATGTAAAAAAAATGTTAAAAAATTAAAAAAAAGGAAATGAAAGAGTGTGGACGGGGGAGCACATAGGTGCCAGCGTCCAGTTGGCCTAGGTATGAACACTGGCAGCGACAATCACAGCCCGTGATTGAAGAGCCTGGGCTCTTCATCTATAAAATGGGGGTGATACACCTGCTGGCTGGAGCTGTTACACGAGACGGGCCATGTTACGGTCCTCAACCCGGTCTCCAGTGCAGAGCCCTCGGTAATCAGCAAGGATGTTGTGCTCAGTTACGAGTGCAAACACACACCTCTAGGCCACGTGAGAGTGAATGTGTGGCAGCTGGGCATATGACGTGCACCGCGGGCTGGGGGGAAGTGTATCCGGAAGCAGGGCAGGGGGCTTCTGGCCACACAAGAGTCAGCAAGACAGACGTGGTCCTGGCTCCCGGCGAGAAGAGAACGCCACCACGTACTCCTAGATGGTGATAGGTGCTCCCGAGAGAAAATTAAGGTAGGACACTTTGATAGAATGGCAGAGCGGCCGCCGGGGTTGTCTGGAGACAGGGAAGTCCCCCTAAAATCTGAATGACAAGGGCCGCCTGGGTGGCTCCGTCGGTTAAGCGGCCGACTTCGGCTCAGGTCATGATCTCACGGTCCGTGAGTTCGAGCCCCGCGTCAGGCTCTGTGCTGACAGCTCAGAGCCTGGAGCCTGTTTCAGATTCCGTGTCTCCCTCTCTCTGACCCTCCCCCTTTCATGCTCTGTCTCTGTCTCAAAAAAAATAAATAAACGTTAAAAAAAAAAAAAAATCTGAATGACAAGAGAAAACCGGCTGTGCCAGAGACCCGGAAGAAGAACTTGCAAGCGGAGAAAACGTGAGTGTGAAGACGCTAAGGCAGGGGGACCTCCGTGTGCTTGGTTAATAACCTGTGTGCCCGCGGTACGTTTCGGTGGTGGGGTCCGGTGTGACGTGTATCAGCACCACACAACACACCGCCCCCCAGGTTTAGCCTAACACGGCAGCTGTTTGTTTGCTCGTCATTCTGCGGAGCAGCCCCGCTGCCGTACTGGGTTTTCCTGCTGGTCTCCCCGACGCCCTGGCAGCTCCCTGGCGACTCTGCTGGTCTCCCGACACCCTGCCCCCGGTCCCTTTGCTGGGCCGTGGGTACAAGCTCATCCTCGCGTCTGCCGGCCGGCGCTGGCTATTGGTTGGAGCACCTGGGATCTCCTGCACGGGAGCCACCGTCGTCCAGTGGACTGAGCGGGTTTCCTTACGTGGACGTCTCCTCACAGGGCTCTGAGAAGGCTGGAGCAGAAGACCTCTGGAGACTGGGCTGCCAAGTCACCCATCACATTCTTTTGCTCAGGGCAGGTCCCAAGGCGCACTCGTACTCAAGGGGTGGGGAAATAGACTCACCCTCTGGGAGAAGACACAGAAGGTTTGTGGCCGTTTAGAGCCGCCATGGAAAAGCAGGCTGTAGTCAAATTGTGTGTGGCTTTGTAAGCGAAGCAAAGGATTTAGAATTTTCTCCAGCAGCCAGCTGGTATAAGCAACGCCATTTCTTTATTTCAAAACAAGGTTCTGACAGACTTTCACTGGAAGATCTTGTAAGGATGGAAAGGAACATTCTGTATCACGGGCTATGACACAGCAGAGAAGTAGTGTATGCAGAAGTCTTAGACCCGGTTTTCAGGGGCTCCCGCTCTTGCCCCGGACACTCAGACGCTCGCTGCTGAGGTCGAGTCTCTGTGTCAGATAGGACTGGCTCCAGGAAGAAGAGGGGGCCCAGGAAGCATCACTATGAAGTCTTCAGGAAAGGGGAGATTGGACACACTACTTTTTTTTTTTTTTTAATTTTTTTTTCAACGTTTATTTATTTTTGGGACAGAGAGAGACAGAGCATGAACGGGGGAGGGGCAGAGAGAGAGGGAGACACAGAATCGGAAACAGGCTCCAGGCTCCGAGCCATCAGCCCAGAGCCTGACGCGGGGCTCGAACTCACGGACCGCGAGATCGTGACCTGGCTGAAGTCGGAGGCTTAACCGACTGTGCCACCCAGGCGCCCCTGACACACTACTTTTTAAATATCACTTTCTAAGATACTTACGCATCTTAAAAAAATATATCAAACTTGTATAGCCTTAAAAATCGTTTCTTAACGTGTTCAGTCTAAGGTTGGTCTTTTGCAATTGGTCTGTCCCAGGTTGCCAGCAGATGGATCTGGGATGTGGCATGGGACAGCTGGGTTGCTGCGAAACATGAAACGGAAACGTACGTGGCCTTGGCCCTGGTGTTTGCTCTTTATTGTGAGTAGGGAGTGTTTACTCCTCAACTTTGCAGAGACACAGGACATCTGTAGATCTGTGAACCTCACAGTAGACGTTGATTCCCTGCACTTTGGCCTCCAGTTGAAGCTTCATTGTATCATTTTAACAGCAAACAAGTAAAAGCTGGATTGTTTTTACCTTTATAATTTACTAGTTATCATATTTATTAATGCTCTGTTACCCCCAAAGTAGGAAAGTATGAGTGAGTGACACATAGAGATAGATAGATATGAATATATAAGTGCTTAGAGTGGATTCTAAGATAGGGAAATTATCATTCTTGTTAGATTTAAGACAATCAGAATTTGCTAGAGGAAATTATGACACAACTTAGTAAAGCGTCAATTAAATGTTAAAATCGATTTTGGAAAACTTCTAAAGGCAGATGTACTTTTGAATGGTATTTTATTTTACTTTTTTTTTTATTTTTTTTTTTTAACGTTTATTTATTTTTGGGACAGAGAGAGAGAGAGCATGAACGGGGGAGGGGCGGAGAGAGAGGGAGACACAGAATCCGAAACAGGCTCCAGGCTCTGAGCCATCAGCCCAGAGCCCGACGCGGGGCTCGAACTCACGGACCGCGAGATCGTGACCTGGCTGAAGTCGGACGCTTAACCGACTGCGCCACCCAGGCGCCCCTTGAATGGTATTTTAATATGTTGTATGCGTTCTTTTGAAAGGAATTACCAAGTTTGAAAGAAAGACACTTTCTATAATGTAATTATACACTTTCTAATAACGTAGTTAGCACATCCCTAGCCAATCAAAATGCTTAAAATGTGTGGGTGTTCTATTTGTTAGTCTGTTAATTAAGCACTTTTTAGATGCGGGAAGTGAAACACCTAACCCAATTGTTTATTTTAAAAAGAGAGAGAGAGAGGCACCAGGGTGGCTCAGTTGGTTGAGCACTTGACTCCTAATTTTGGCTCAGGTCATGATCTCAACGGTCCGTGAGTTTGAGCCCCGCGTCAGGCTCTGGGCTGATGGCTCAGAGCCTGGAGCCTGTTTCCGATTCTGTGTCTCCCTCCCTCTCTCTCTGCCCCTCCCCCGTTCATGCTCTGTCTCTCTCTGTCCCAAAAATAAATAAACGTTGAAAAAAAAATTAAAAAAAAAAAAAAAGAGAGAGAGAGAGGCACCAGGGTGGCTCAGTTGGTTGAGCACTTGACTGTCAATTTTGGCTCAGGTCATGATCTCACAGTCAGGAGACTGAGCCCCATGTCGGGCTCCACACTGAGCGTGGAGCCTGCTTGGGATTCTCCCTCTCTCCCCCTCTGCCCCTCCTCTGGTTCTCTCTCTCTCTCTAAAAGATGAAAATTTTCTTTTCCAGGCACTGGACCAGGGATCCAGTTTCTTCTTTCTCCTCTCCCCCTAGACTTTTCTGTACATTTGTTTAACTGGGTATAATTTTTTTTTTAATTTTTTTTAACGTTTATTTATTTTTCAGACAGAGAGAGACACAGCATGAATGGGAGGGGCAGAGAGAGAGGGAAACACAGAATCGGAAGCAGGCTCCAGGCTCTGAGCCATCAGCCCAGAGCTTGACGCGGGGCTCGAACTCTCGAGATCGTGACCTGAGCTGAAGTCGGACGCTTAACCGACTGAGCCACCCAGGCACCTGTTTAACTGGGTATAATTTAATCATGTTCTTATCTATGACCAGATGGGTCAAATTCACTCCTCGGGACAGGGGCTGTATCCGCCTTTGCTGAAGCACCCAGCTACATGAAAAGAGTGGATACAACTATAAATCAGGGCTCGTCCAGCAGAAGCAGGGGTGGGCTTGGAGCAGGCAACCGATAATGTCTGTGATCATACGAGTTTACAAGTGATAATCAGAACATGAAAAACGGTGTCAAACTTAACGGATGGTGAAAATACCCAGTAGTTAGTTTGAATAATCCAAAGGCTGGAAGATAGAAAGGTAGAGGAGAGTTTTCTTTTCACTTATGATGACCCAGGACTAAGAGTTCCATGCTACGCAGCATAAACATGATAGTTGTCACCCAAAGAATCTTCAGGACAGGAGTTCTGAGTTGTGAACCTTGGACACAGAAGAAGTTAGTAATAAGAAGCCTATGTAACCGCTCATGTTATGCAATGTACCTTCCTGATGAACTTGCAGGATAAATCCATTGTAAAATAAACTGCCTCATCACACTGTTTGTAAAATGAGGATTATACCTTCCTCCTAAGGTCAGTGTGTGAATTAAGTGAGGTAATAAACAACCAAGAGCCTATGCCCAGCACTTGACAGCTCTGGAGACCATTACCGGCTTTCGCATCTGGTTTGACATCTCAGAATCACCTGCAGCTTTTCTCATTCTCTTCCGTTCTCCCAACCCCTGTACGTATTCAATCGTTAAATTCCACCGACTCCAATTTTTTGAAGTGACTCAGAGTCAGCGCCGTGGCTCGTCCGGGCCCCCACTTCTCCCGCATCTATCCCAGCGCCCCTTTCTTCCCACGCACTCATTTGTCAGAGGTTCTGTTCCACCACACCCCGCGTCCACCGTGTCCCGGCACCGTGTGAGGTGCGGGGTGTGGAGCAGGGCCCTCACCAGACCCCCATGGCACGGGCGGCCTGTGAGAAATGAGTGTGCCTCCGGGAAGGCAGCGGGCGTCCCCCAGGGCGGACCCGGGAGCACACGCTTCGCCTCACGCACGAGACTGGTGATGTCGCCATCTGGATGTCACCCCCTGGGCCGGGTCCCCTCAGTTCCCTGAGGTTTAATGGAGTCCGGGTGCCTGTAAACCTCTCTGACCCCGGAGTGCTCCTCACTGCTGCCCACGCTTGACCTCCCCTGTCCTCAGGCTGCCTCACACGCCCTCCTGTCTCTCGCCCTCCTGTCTTTTCTGTTAGAGCCTCCCTCCCACCACAAAGACCTCTTCCCATCTCTCCTCCCCCAAGCCGGATGGAGGCCTCTAGCCACCTCTGCGTGAGCCGGCAGAAGGGGGCAGTCACCCTGGGGCCGCTGGACCGTCCCGCCACGTAGTCAGGACCGTAACTTCTGAACCAGTTTCCCACTGTCCTTAGCGAGCCCTAAGGATGAGTCGCAAGAGATGTGACGCGGATGTTTGCTTCAGCCACGAGAGAGATCTGCACCTCACTGATCTGACTTCCTGCCTCTCCAAGCTTCTCACGGCGGGCTAGCGACCTCCCTTTGCGCCTTCACAGAACATCATCCTCTCCTCCAGATGTATTTTGAGTTCCTTTTGCTTAACAAGGCCTGGCTCGTCCCCACGGAAGAGGCCCTGTGCTGTGGAAGGGAGATATATGCAAAGCAACCTCCAAGACTGAAGGAGCCTTCAGACCCAAAGGAAAAGGCCATGCCTGGCTTGACAAGAAGTGGTTTGTGGTTCCGTACAGATGGAAGCCTGTCTCTGGGGGGCAGGGGACAAGGAGATCTCCACGACCCTACCTTCCTTGAGACCTGCTTTTCTAGCCCTGGGGGCTGTGTGGACGTGGGGGACCAGCCAGGGGGAGATGGTTGAGAATCTGTGTGTCTCCTAGTCCCCCCCACCCCCAGCCCCGCCCCAGGCCCAAGCAGGCAGGTGGGCCCGAGAGTGTGTCCAAGAGTGTGCCAAAGGGTGTGGTTGAACAGGGGGAAGAGCCTGGTCGGGCAGAGAGGGGGGGCTGCGTTCCAGAAGGCCGCAGGTGGCAAGGCGGTCCTCATGGCTGGTGGGGCTCGTCCAAGATGACGTCAGTCTGACTCACACTCCCCACCCCAGTCCCTCAGCGAAAGCTGCCGGGAGGTACCGCGAGCGGCCCCTCTGACCTTGAACCACTCCAGCTCCTGGCAAGGTGTGCCGTGTGGGTTCACAACTCTTCACGTGTGTGCACCGCTACTGCCCACGGCCCCTGGCTTGCTCCTTCTCGTTAGCTACTTGGAGACATGAGCCAAGGGACCCCAATCCCCATCTCCACTCGACTCCTGCTGCCCGTTCTTTGTGACTTCGATATCACGCAGATAACTGTCCACTAAGGCAGTCCTCACTGGGGCATGTTCTAGTATGCACAAATTTTAATCGCCACAGTTTAGTTAAACAGCACCGGTCCCCCAATAACGGGGGTCAGATTTCAGTTACCACGCTATGTTGCTATGTTAACTGCGTGACTGCATCGGCTACAAACTTCACAGCCAGTTGTCAGGCCACAGGTCGCTGTGTTAATGACTGACCTGCATCATCAACCTCCCTGCAAAGCCTGTCGGTGACTCGTCACCGCACTTCAGTTATCCAGCGGCTCAGGTCACAACACAGCAACAAAGCAGGTTCTCGCATTGCCTCCTTGTCTCCCGGTGACAGACCCACATGATGTTTTACAACAATGAGCTGTCAAAGGAAAACTGTTTTACGTTAAAATTTCATTTTATACAATTTACCAAAAAAGTTGAAAGTGTTAAAGAAATAAGAAATGAGGATGTTGAAAACAAAATTGGATGTGATTAGGAAATTTGAAATTGACAAGAGCAAAGTGAGCTACGATGAAATCTAAGCCGGCACGAGGTCCCTTAGGAACCACAGGGAGAAAGCCTGGTGAGTGAAGAAACATGGTAACGTTGGAACCACATCCTTTAGTTTAAATTGCTCGAGGAACAGAAAGACTTTCTTCTACTCTGGATGGAGGACCAATAACAACAATGATAATGATAATGATAGTAATAAATCCTAATCAGTTTGGCCAGCATTCAGGTCAAGTGTTGATGGTAGTTGCCATGTTGAAAGAAAACTGTGACTACACAGAGAGACGGGTAGACAAGCTCTTACCGCAGTAAAGTCCGGTTTCATCATCTTGGAAGTGCACAAGACTCGATTAGCGCTGAGCTCGCTGGTTAAGCTGCGGGCCCGGGCCAGGGCACTGCCGGGAAGCCTGCACCCAGATTCCACGGGTCAGGTAGGGCAGGTGGTCCAGACAAAGGATGCAAATATCTCAAGGAGGTGACATTGGTAAACGACTTCACATTAAAGACACTTAGAGATACTATACAACATCGAAAATGCAAAACAAAACGTTGGGAGGAGCAGGGAAACTTATCAAGGCTCAGAAAAGGGAAGTGATATTATGAGAAGGCAAGCACCATTCAAACCAGTCTTGGTAAAGTCTTTACACAGAAATTAATGACTAATTCCCAGTGTTTCTCATTTT